GGGGAAGGCTTAAATTTCTAATTCTGGAAAATAGAAAAAGGTATTTAAATAAGGCCTGGAGGACTTACTCATTTGCCAGAAGTAAGTAAAAAGGCAAGTTTATATCCTTTTGTAATTCACCCTAATTGAAAGGATGTATATTTCTTTTCCTAAAGTCAGCAGTCAGCAGAAAAATCCTGGCCTCTTAATGATGAAAGGCTTTTTTTTTTTTTTTTTTTTAAACTTTCTCCTAAGCACAAATAACTGAAGTTTCCACTTGAAACTTGGGTGGCTCATTCATATTTAATTTAATGGTAACATGGTATCCTCTCTCTCCCTCCTCCTCCTTACCACCAAGTCTAAAAAGGAGGAGGGGAGATATAAAATGTTTCCGAAAATTACAGGAAATGTCTGTTCCTTTAACAGCATTGCCAGGGAATTTCCAAATGTGCTTAATGCTTATGGCTGAACTTGCAGCAGCTCAGTCTTCAATCATGAGTGGATCCTGTTCTAAAAATGTGACACCTCCTTCCTCCAGTAAAATGTGCTGAAATTAAGTATATGGTTTTGTTTCTCATCTGTTCTTCAGCAGAATTAATTGCGCCCAGTGGTGAAACGAGGGCTGCTTTAAACTCCTGATTTGCTTCTATTCATTAAAGTGGGAAAAAGAGTATACAGTTTCCTGAGGTGGTAGCTAGTTTATATATAAGGACTTTGGAGGGGCATTGGTGGCAAATGGTAGTGAATGGAAGACTACCTAGTCTGAAAGACTACCTTTCAGAGAGACTTCAGAAACTGCATGTGAAGCTCGAAGGAACAAAAAGGGAGATGCTTTTTGTCCCGTTACTTTTGTTCCTTGGACTTCCCACAAGGTGGTTTCTGATCTTAGGGTCTTTAGGCACAGACACACACTAACTGGTGGTAAGCACTAGGTTACTTTTAATTTCCAGGGATGGGATTAGAAAAGGGGATAGTGACAAGTAGGATGAGTAGGGTGAGCTTTCTCTTCGTTCTCCGTTGCCGTCTGCCGCTGGACTAGGGGAAGAAGCAAGGGAGATCTGCCAGGTCTCTTCCTGGGGCTCCAAAGGATGTCTGGCAGCTGGAGCAGGCAGACGGAGACACAGACCCGGCACAGTCTTCAGTAGGTCTTCTCCTCCACCTCCCTTCCCTGCTGCTCTCCTGTAGGTATGCTGATATGCTAATGGTGGATAAGTGAGAGGATCTCCAGCCTAGGACCACCCAGGGACAAGCACGCGGGTCCCAGTCAAGGTGTCTATCCCAGTGACCAGAGCATGGTCTGGGTAGCCAACTCGTTAATTGTATGTCTGAAGGGCTCTAGCCCCATGTTCTACTGTTGGCCTTTTGCAAGGCTTTTGGAGCAGTTGCCTGAAGACAGAGGGGTGATTCTTGTAGCTCCTCTCCTTGCGAGATGACCTGGGGTTTGAATCTGTTCACCAGCTCTTGTGATGTGCTCAGCCCTCTGCTGTGGTGGCTCTTCATGGTTGGCCTATCATTTATTACGTGATTCGGCACCACTCCTGGATTTCGTAGTATGGCAGCGCTTGGCAATAAATTATTATCATGCTTGATATTACAGTGATTAAGTGGAGCTGTCATCTCTTGGTAGGGATGATTTGAATCTTGTTTTTAGCTGCCCAGGAAATAGTTTGGAATTGACACTAATATGTTTATTTTTACTTCCTCATCTGAAGGTTATAATTTAATTTGTTCATGTAGGAACAGCAGGTGCTTTGTTATAGAGGTTGTACAGCTATGACTATGCATAATGGTTGGTGACACCAGTGTTACTGGTTTCCAGTGTTGGCTTTTGTAGCACGTGATGAGGTGGGATTAATTACCCGAGATGTTCTGTTTTGTGACTCTTTGTCCACTCTGTAAATCAGACTGACTTATGGCAGTCTCCTATATTAATGGGTACTGAACAAGAGTTTGTGAATTTTCTTGAATTCATGCAAATGCATCACCTGTGAATGCTAGTTACAGATTAGTTTTCTAGGAGGGATATGTGTCAAATTCTTTGGATGGTTATTGTTGAGTTTTTTTGTTGGTTGTTTTTTGAAGTATCTCTAACTTTTCCCTTTTTTCTTTTTAAAGAACCTAGAGAGATATGCTGTGGGTTTTGTTGTTGGGTCTTTTTCTCTTTTAGAACTACTTTAGGTGCTGTGGGTTTTGTTGTTGGGTCTTTTTCTTTTAGAAAATCAATATAACAATTTTCTACTTTAGACCCTTTCCATTTGAATGAATGCTAACATTTATAGATCTCTTCTTATCTAGGTTTTCATATATTTGGGAGAGTTTTACAGCAAATGACTACACTGAAAGTGTGACATCCATTGGGAGGGGTTGTTGGGTTTGGTTTTTTTCACTTGTAATAAGGATTATTTTTTTTTAATTTTCCTATGTTTAGGTATTTCCCTCTGCTGGCCTTTGTATGTGGACCACCTTGTGTCATCTTGTTCAGCCCATTTAGATTTTGACTTCAATGTAGGTGAGTAATTGCTTTTGATGGGAAACAATAATGAATTCTCATAAAAGTGCTCTAGAATTTTCAGTTGCTTTGACTTGGAAATGACACAGGGTGAATAATCTTTTAAAAATCCATTGAAACTTCCTGGCTGCCTTGTGTCCAAGGCAATAAGAAACTGAAAATGTTATATATCACAGCATTTTTTTTGGGTTGGATTAGGTAAGCTTTCCTTCTAGGTGTCACAACTATATGCTGGGAACCTACAATGAGAAAATATTTTGAAATGGAAAGAGCTTCTTGCTTGTATGGGTGGAGAGGGGAGTCCCCAAATAAAGGCTCTGAGCTGTTGAATAGAGTTATGTAACGAATCAACAGCATGTTTTAACACTTCTCATGAGCTCACATTCTATCAGTCAGATTTCCCTGCTATAGCATGTCATAAATGTTTATTATTCTGCAGTGAATGTCAAAGGGGTTGGCTTCTTGGTAAATGCAAGTGATGATAATCAGGCTTATTGCTCAGAGTTGGTATTGGTGCATGAATAATATTTGCAAGAATATTGCACATATTTGAGGGCTGTGTTGAGCAGATCACGAAAATGTGGTGGTTCAGTGGTTTGTTTTGGTTTGGTGGGCTTTTTGTAGTAGAAAGGACTATATTATTTCAAACACCACTATTTGTATAAAAAACAATATCTTGCTACTACCTGAGTGGAAAGTCCATTCATCTTGCTTAGCCCAGCTATCTTACAATGCTGGTGGTAAAAATGTTACTCAATAGTAAATTTAGTAGTAGAAATAGAGTGAGCTTAAAAATCTAAACTGGAGGTGTTTTATACAGCTTATTCTGGGGAAGCTGATTTCCTTTCTGATTCTGTATCTCCATGCTTCGGTTCTCAGATTGGTGAGCACAGTGAAAGGAGGTGACTTTTCTTTAGAACTAGTAATCAAAACTAAGTAATTAGTCAAGTAGGGTGAAGGGGTATAGAGCACTGAACAGAAAATTCTCCATGTTTTTTTTTTACTATAGACTATACTGTCCTTTTTCATGAACGTAAAGTGTGCAATCTAAAATGTGCAGGGCTGCTCTTTCTACAAGGAAGAGAAAAGTAACACTATTCCATTTTGACTGCATATGTAGATCTAAAGTACAGATGTGCTGAAAATAAGAGAGGAGGGAGCAGCCATTCTCATCATACAGATAAGCAGAGGAAAGCAGGGTGAAATTCTTAAAACTGCTTCTCATTTATGAACGTGGTGCATAAGTGACATTTGGAAAAAGAAAATAAAAGTCTATGTGTTCCTATTTGTGACTTCCTTGCTGCTCTCCACTCTTGCACCAAAGTGGAGTGTGCTGGGGAGGGTGGGGGAAAGTCTTGTGTTCTTTCACCCCACAACCAACGTGAGGAAATGGTGTGCTTATGAGATGATGACACTTGCTTGAGTCACCTGAAAAGTCAAAAGACACCCTCATTCCCCTCAGTTGATGAACACGAGTCTTTGTTAACAGAGCTCTTCTTTTAAATCACAAGCATTTGTAATCTCCCTCCTGTATTCTGCACGATGGCAGGCAAGACATAGGCTTCTTGTAACCTCAGTTACATTTTTTTTTTCCCAGACTTTACCCTATATTACGCAGTTGTCGATCTCTGGAATTTATTGATTTGCATGCTGAAATCAGAAGTATAGCCCTTCCTCACTTTCACTTAGAAATCTTATTCCCCTTGTGCTCCACAGCCACTTTGTGCTCTGGAATTTATTGATTTGCATGCTGAAATCCTCACTTTCACTTAGAAATCTTATTTCCCTTGTGCTCCACAGCCACTTTGTGTTTCTCGCTACTAATGAGTAGCAACTTGAGCAAGGATTGGCCCTCTCCCTCCTTGATTGTCACTCAGTCTTTAGCAGCGTAGGTTACGCCCAAAACAACTTTTATTTCCGTCTTTTTGAGGCTGGCAAAGGGATGCTGTGGCTGTCGTAGATGTTGGGAGGGGAAAAAAGCCATCTTGCAGGAGTGGGAATTCACCCTGTGATCCCTTAGATGAGGAGTTCCTCTCCGATGCAGGAGTTTGTGTAGGCTTGTTTGTCGGGTACCCCATGTGGCTGTGGTGGCAAGGTCTGGTGCTGGTGGTGTTGGCACTGGCTGTTGAACCACTGTCAGCTCCCAGCTCACTAACACTGAAGCCAAGTACTCCTTTGAAAACAGCTGATGTGCCAACAGTGGTATGTGTCCTGCAGTATCTCCTACCTCTGTGTTTTGATTCAGCTTTTTCGTTTTTTTTGTTTGTTTGTTTGTTTGTTGTTTTTTTTTTATCCTGGTGCCCGTCCTGAGTTTGTTTGTTTGTTTGTTGTTTTTTTTTTTATGCTGGTGCCCATCCTGGGGAACATGAAAAAGAATTTGACTGTAGGAGGGGATAGAGATCTTCTCATATGTGTGTGCATTTGCCTCTAGAGAGTAGAAAAATACACAGCTTTAAAAATCAACTCTTTCAGGTGTTTCAGGCTGGATATGCAAAACCTGCCCTTCAGGACCTTCAGATGCTGTAAAGTTATTTTTCTTGGAGTTTTGCCATGCAGCAGTGACGTAAGTGGGAGCGCTCCTGTAGGCACCTGCCAAAGCAGGCATGAGTGACGTGGGGAGCAAAACTGTGGAGCGTTAATGGCACCAAGGTTCAACTTCAAGGTTATCTTCTTAGGTGAGGTCTGGAGAAGTCTTTCGGCGATGGTAGCAAGGCTTCTAGAAGCGCTTTGCTAGTTCCTTAACCAAGGCAAAATCAGAGCATCATTCTGAGAGGCTTTTAAAATATATTCTTAAGACATCTGCCTCTTTAAAAATCATTGCTATCATAGCAGCCAAAGCCTGAGATAACTCGAACAAGTGTCCTGCTATGACGTCAGGGAATTGGTTGGAGTCAAAGTGGTAGAAGTGGAAATTAGGAGTGCATACAAAATGTGAGTTATTTTGACTGAAGAATCAAGCACACAACTTAAGTGCCAAGTTTCCAGTTCTGTGGTTGCCTCCTTCACTCCATCTGACCCATTTGGGATGGGGACAGGAATCCCTCAGGCAAAGACGGATCCTGTAGTTCTGTGGCAGCATTACATGTACATATTAGAATCAAAGAATTATAGAATGATCTGGGTTGGAAGGGACCCTAAAGATCATCTAGTTCCAACCCCCCTGCCATGGGCAGGGACACCTCCCACCAGACCAGCTGCTCAACTGATCTAGAATGTCTCCAGGGATGGGGCATCCACAACTTCTCTGGGCAACCTGTTCCAGTATCTCACCACCCTCACAGTGAAGAATTTCTTCCTGAAATATTAGGGATTCACTGTGGGTTGTGTGGAAAACAGTAGGGGTTTTGTTGTTTTGGATCTTTAAACAACATGAGGAAACGGTAAAGATTCTGGGCAAGCATAGAACAGTTCTTTTTAGTTCTACAGTGAGTTAAAAGCTTTCTACTCGTCTTTAAAAGAAGAGGTAACAAGCAGTGCCACGTGTTGCAAACCCATCTACAGGGAGGAAGAAGCCCTGCAGTAATACCAGTGCATATGTGAGTGACCTCATGCTCGACTGCGGATCAATTTTTGGTAATCCTGATTTCAGTGTAGGACATCCTGTGACTAAGATGGTTTCCTAGCGTGAAGATCAGCAACGTAATGGCCTATTTAGGGCAAAGTGTTACATTGCATCATTTCATGAGATATTAGTGTCCATACATACCATGGTGATCTAAGTCACAAGTGGCACAGCAGAAAGAGAACATTCAAGAAATTGAATTTTAGCTTTTTACAAACTAAATTAGAAATCAGACAGATATTTCAACACCTCATAGTAGCTGAACGATAAGAGCAGTTACGAGGAAGGGGAGGAGAACTGTAGTGTTTACCTAAAGCAGGAGGTAAAAGAGGAGGAGGGAACAGGAGGCTGCCAGTTGCGCTTGTTTAGATAGGTCCTGAGGAAGAGTCCTAAAGTCTGACAGTACCAGGAACAGAGAGAATTAAAACAAAACAGAAACCTGTAGTTGATAAAAATGTTCTTCCTCCCCTGCCCAATGAATCTGTTCCTCCCAGAATAGGATTTCAATCACAGTAACTTGAGGTGACATTACTGTTAGTTTATTATTTCAAGCCACGGGCAGAATGCTTTCAAAAACGTAACACATAGCTATACATTAAGGTAATAGTGTTATTTAAAAAGGATTCTTGACTGTTATCCCACTTGCCTTATGTTCTTTACGTGCTCTTTACCCAGTTGCCATATATAACTGGTTGGAGTTCTTTTCAGGGGTCTTCTCAAACAAGCTTCTATCATACAAGAGGGAAAGCTAAGCCAGCAAGCAGTAAGCATTTAGAAGATAAGAAACGTACCCAAACTGCAAGTTGCAAGTTAAAGATTATGTATTTTTAACAGCCTTCATTTTAGAGTTCTCAGCTGCTTTATTTTCCTGTTATTGCTTGGACTTTAAGTCAGCAATTTACCCATCAAAACAAACTGTCTAGTTCACGAACAAACTGTCTAGCTCACAAAAGACCTAGAGCCAATTCCCACTAGAGCCAGTGGAAAAGTTTTCATTGAGTTCAGCGGGTTTGGTATCTGGCAGCCTCTGATACGAATAAAAGAGAATCATAATTCATGACAGGACATGTTAAGAGAAACAATAAAAAATGCAGAATAATTTTTTTTTCTCTCTGAAAAAAAAATGGACACAACTATCAAGTTTCACTTTCCCCCCCGTCCTTGCATAATGGCATAGACTTTTGATGGCTTCCAGCCTGTCTGCCGGGGCCTGAGGCCAGTATGTGATGACTGCTTTTTGAAGGGGAGCACACCTGCCAACCAGGTTGCAAAGACAGGGGGGGTTTCATCAGTTTAATTAAGTCTTGGTATACTATTTTTTCTAATAAATTTTGTAGTTTAGAGCAATATGTGCTTGCATTTATCTAGGCAAGCTTAAAAGCACTGGCTCTATAGCAGTAGGGTCAGGGCAAATAGAAAGTCATATTTTGTCAACCAAATGGCTGTTTATGTGAAGCCTGGTGTTTTTCTTGTATCGCTACATGAAAATCTCAAGAAACAAATTTCTTTCAGTTTTCTTTTTTGGGTTGTTAAAGTGAAGTTTGTGGTTGTTTTTTTTTTTTCCAGAATTTAATTTATTAGATTTGTATAATATATCTAACGAGTAAAACATCTGCTGACCTGGAATTTCCCATTGCTAAACACAACTGACCTGTTGCTGTAATAGGACCTTTAATGAACTATCTATAAGTCAGTTTGAATTCATGACTTCAGTTGCAATTAAGATAAATAACAAACATTTCAAACTGAAGCAGCGAGTCAACACTATTAGTAAAATGTGAATTTTCCAGCTGAACCCTGTGAAACTGAGGATGTAAAATTATTTTTTTTTAAAAAGATATAAAACCTTCATCCCCATATGCACCTGTATGTGCGTGTAGCCTCATTACTTGCTTCTGTTTACAAGTGTTTCACTGCCTCAAGAGCGTCAGTCAAATGGATTTTTATTTTCTTCATCTGGCCACTTCAGTTTTGTGACAGTTGTGTTCCTTTGCTTCGTCCCAGCCAGCTGAAGGCAGAGGTGGAGGGGCTGCTCAGGTCACGGGCTGGGTGGCCTGACATAAGACTCAGGCTTTGCTTTGTGCAAGAGGTGTTGTGTAGTTTGGTGACCTAAAATCGCTTCCCCAAACAGGAAAAGGGAATGTGATGGTGTGAGACATGCAAAGGCGGAGAGAAATGTGGTTTCTTGCTGAGCTGGCTTTACCCTGCACCAGTTTGAGCCCAGATTGCTCATTTCCAAGCAGTCTGCTGTGCTAACGAGGTGAGAAACTGTGAGGCTTGCCCTTAATCACAGACAGGCTCTAACCTGTGAGCTCTGCCACCTTGGTTGAAGAAGTCACCACCCTTAGCTGTCTCTTCCCACCAGAGCTGATTACTGAGGCAACTGAACGTGTAGCTTGTATTTCCTCCAGAGCTGTTGTTTGCACCCTTATGTAGATTGCTGTCTCTGCAAATACCCATGAATGCCCTAAGAGACCACGTTTTGAACTGTGGGAGCAAAGCAAGTTGACCTGGTTTTTCTGTTGGATCTGTAGCTGCAGCACTATATGCACTAAAGTGCAGCCAAATCACAGAGTCACAGAATGTTGAGGTGACATTACTGTTAGTTTATTATTTCAAGCCACGGGCAGAATGCTTTCAAAAATGTAACACATAGCTATACATTAAGGTAATAGTGTTATTTAAAAAGGATTCTTGACTGTTATCCCACTTGCCTTATGTTCTTTACGTGCTCTTTACCCAGTTGCCATATATAACTGGTTGGAGTTCTTTTCAGGGGTCTTCTCAAACAAGCTTCTATCATACAAGAGGGAAAGCTAAGCCAGCAAGCAGTAAGCATTTAGAAGATAAGAAACGTACCCAAACTGCAAGTTGCAAGTTAAAGATTATGTATTTTTAACAGCCTTCATTTTAGAGTTCTCAGCTGCTTTATTTTCCTGTTATTGCTTGGACTTTAAGTCAGCAATTTACCCATCAAAACAAACTGTCTAGTTCACGAACAAACTGTCTAGCTCACAAAAGACCTAGAGCCAATTCCCACTAGAGCCAGTGGAAAAGTTTTCATTGAGTTCAGCGGGTTTGGTATCTGGCAGCCTCTGATACGAATAAAAGAGAATCATAATTCATGACAGGACATGTTAAGAGAAACAATAAAAAATGCAGAATAATTTTTTTTTCTCTCTGAAAAAAAAATGGACACAACTATCAAGTTTCACTTTCCCCCCCGTCCTTGCATAATGGCATAGACTTTTGATGGCTTCCAGCCTGTCTGCCGGGGCCTGAGGCCAGTATGTGATGACTGCTTTTTGAAGGGGAGCACACCTGCCAACCAGGTTGCAAAGACAGGGGGGGTTTCATCAGTTTAATTAAGTCTTGGTATACTATTTTTTCTAATAAATTTTGTAGTTTAGAGCAATATGTGCTTGCATTTATCTAGGCAAGCTTAAAAGCACTGGCTCTATAGCAGTAGGGTCAGGGCAAATAGAAAGTCATATTTTGTCAACCAAATGGCTGTTTATGTGAAGCCTGGTGTTTTTCTTGTATCGCTACATGAAAATCTCAAGAAACAAATTTCTTTCAGTTTTCTTTTTTGGGTTGTTAAAGTGAAGTTTGTGGTTGTTTTTTTTTTTTCCAGAATTTAATTTATTAGATTTGTATAATATATCTAACGAGTAAAACATCTGCTGACCTGGAATTTCCCATTGCTAAACACAACTGACCTGTTGCTGTAATAGGACCTTTAATGAACTATCTATAAGTCAGTTTGAATTCATGACTTCAGTTGCAATTAAGATAAATAACAAACATTTCAAACTGAAGCAGCGAGTCAACACTATAAGTAAAATGTGAATTTTCCAGCTGAACCCTGTGAAACTGAGGATGTAAAATTATTTTTTTTTAAAAAGATATAAAACCTTCATCCCCATATGCACCTGTATGTGCGTGTAGCCTCATTACTTGCTTCTGTTTACAAGTGTTTCACTGCCTCAAGAGCGTCAGTCAAATGGATTTTTATTTTCTTCATCTGGCCACTTCAGTTTTGTGACAGTTGTGTTCCTTTGCTTCGTCCCAGCCAGCTGAAGGCAGAGGTGGAGGGGCTGCTCAGGTCACGGGCTGGGTGGCCTGACATAAGACTCACTTGAAGGCAGGCTTTGCTTTGTGCAAGAGGTGTTGTGTAGTTTGGTGACCTAAAATCGCTTCCCCAAACAGGAAAAGGGAATGTGATGGTGTGAGACATGCAAAGGCGGAGAGAAATGTGGTTTCTTGCTGAGCTGGCTTTACCCTGCACCAGTTTGAGCCCAGATTGCTCATTTCCAAGCAGTCTGCTGTGCTAACGAGGTGAGAAACTGTGAGGCTTGCCCTTAATCACAGACAGGCTCTAACCTGTGAGCTCTGCCACCTTGGTTGAAGAAGTCACCACCCTTAGCTGTCTCTTCCCACCAGAGCTGATTACTGAGGCAACTGAACGTGTAGCTTGTATTTCCTCCAGAGCTGTTGTTTGCACCCTTATGTAGATTGCTGTCTCTGCAAATACCCATGAATGCCCTAAGAGACCACGTTTTGAACTGTGGGAGCAAAGCAAGTTGACCTGGTTCTTCTGTTGGATCTGTAGCTGCAGCACTATATGCACTAAAGTGCAGCCAAATCACAGAGTCACAGAATGAGATGGGGTTGGGAGGGACCTCTGGAGATCTAGTCCAAGTGCCCTACCAAAGCAGGTCCACCTAGGGTGGTTCCTTTCTGAGGACTGTTCCTCCAGGGACTTCTTCCATCAAAGTGTATTTTGGGAGACTCTGAAAGCCTGAGGACGTCTATGAGGCAGTAACACAAATAGGTGGTGAAACATGTCAGGTGTTTTTACAGGTCTGGAGCTGCCGCCGTTTCAGCTGATGGGGTTGGGATGCTGTCAGGATCTAATTTTACAGAAGTACGGTTTCCTTCAGATAGTGTTTATTGTGTGTGAAAAGTGTAATGTTCCTCATGTAACTGTCCCACCTGCCCCAGATGGGCCAGAGGCTGCTTTACCTCCCAGGGGGGTATTCACGAGGCCTCAGTTCCACGTCTGGTGATTAATTCAAATCAAATGCTTGTGTCCTGATGTAGCATCTTGTTCTTCTGGTTTCTCTTCGACCACATATAGATGGAAGTTTTGTCCTTTCTTTTGTGCAGTTTCAGTTCCTGGACTTGCAGTGCTGGTTTTTGAAATACTTTCCAAGGCATTAAGCTTTAAAAATGTATCTTAACTAATTCTAGAACTTCTTACCAAGCGGTGAAGTGCTGAAACGCATCTAATTAGTTTTGCTGTTGAGAGGAATACCACGATTTAGGGCAGTATCTCTTAATTATATTCTAACAAAGTCTTGTGGGGAGGCAGAGCTAGTGGCAACAAAAGTCTGCCATTAAGACGTTGTGTGAAATAGAAGTTAATTGTCCAGGCGAGATCGTTGGAATAGATTCAGAGACTGTAGTTGCAGATACTCTTCCTAGGTGTTTGGCAGAGAGGGGAACTTCTCAGGAGTGTATTTGTTGTATCATACAGACCACTCTGCAGTTAGCCTCAACGTTTAATGTTTTGTTCTGCAATCTTTCATGGCCTCATCTGGATTTGGTTTTTTTTTTTTTTATCTTCCTCTTCTTACAGGCTCTTAGTCCAGTGTAAAGCTGATGGGTGAGAGCAAAGGTAAAGAATGATGTAATGCAGCGGCAGCCAGAAAGCGTCTTTTGTTTGAATTGTGGAATGGCCACTCCATAGTCATCTCCCCATGAATCAGATGTGAGGGGCTGCTTTGTGGGACCAACCCTTTGTAACGGCACCCCAACTGGAAGCAGGAGGAGACATTCAGCTGAAGAGTTCTTTCTGAAAATGGGTTTAACTTTTCTTTTGCCAGTCACTGCCAGCATGACCTCATACACTTCTAGTACAATGGTGTGGCTAAGCCTTTGAGTACACAGCCATTACATCATCGCAGCAAATTAGAGAAGGGAGGTGGTGAAAGAGGCCTTATTGTTGTCATGGCCGATGAGATGATCAGGACTCAACTCATTGTCGCCGAGAAGTTGGTGGCTTTGCTGGAGAGTGGTACGGAAAAATTGCTGCTGATTGATAGCCGCCCCTTTGTGGAATACAATACGTCCCACATCCTGGATGCCATCAACATCAACTGCTCCAAGCTGATGAAGCGGAGGCTGCAGCAGGACAAAGTTTTGATTACAGAGCTCATTCAGCATTCAGCAAAACACAAGGTAGGGGTCATTTTCCTGTTATACCTTGCGTTTGTTTATAAGAGTATTTTCCCTCAGGTATTTTTGGTTTTTTTTTTTAACAACAAAAAACGAAAACAAAATCAGGGGACCGAGTTTTGCCAAGCTCTTACCTGATTTAAGAGGCGATTGGTTACTGCTGAGTTTATCTTGGGGATTCTTTGAAGCCTGATCTCCCCTAAGTGGCAAAGTAATGGGGAGGGATTTAGAAATTACTCAGAAAGAATGCTCCCAGGGTTCTTGTATGTCTCGCAAAGCACAGTCCCTTAAATGTATGTAACTAAGGAAGGAAACATTCTCTTTATAAACTTCGAAGGATTCTTTGGGGTCTGTGGTGGCAGGGATTGCTCAGCAAGTGGTCCTGCAGTTTGCAAAGAAACTGTAGCTCTGTCAATCCTGGCTCCTACTTACTGTTTAAAATACTTTTCCTGTGAGTAGTTTGATGGGCTTTTGGTTGGTGTTGTTTTGTTTGGGATTCTTTTTCTTTGTAAATAGCGTTACTAGTGAAAAGAAAATAGCTAAGCTTGTTTCAACTTAATGTGTATCTATGTGTGTTTTGTTTTTTATTCCATTGGTACTTGTTTCAAATGTTTTGGTTACAAGAGTAATTTATTACATTCTTGCTTTGACATGTTAAAAACTGAAGCCTTTTATTATTATTATTACTATCTAGAGCATATTTTATACATAAAGTTGTATAGATGGCTAAAATGTTTGTGATTTTAGGCAGTTTAAGGTCTCTTTGCTGTTTATACACAAAAACTCCAGAAGCAGAAACTGAGGTAGGGATTTCTTTTAAAAATCACAGTTTTTAAGCATACCAACCGACCTAGCTGAAGGTAAAGCATTTTACAAGTGGTATAAAATTACCTAATGGTAGAAATTTGCAGAGCGTGCTTCAATTTGGAGCAAATAATCAAATTACAAACTCTGAAAGGAATTAAATTGGATCAGGCAACTAAGTGTAAAATTAAGTGTTTTACGTGCAACTACCTGAGAAATCTGTTTCTCTGAACTGCTGCATAGCATGTACGTGGGAACCCTGATGCGGGTGATAATGTGGTGCTTTTAATCATCTTCCTCTTTCCTATCTTATTCTGAACTACTTGTGTTTCAGATTGAAATTGATTGCAAGCAGGAAGTGGTGGTGTATGACCAAAGCTCTAAAGATGTGACCTCTCTGTCATCTGAGTGCTTTCTTACTGTGCTCCTGGGCAAACTGGAGAAGAATTTCAGCTCTGTGTATCTGCTTTCAGGTATGAAGAACCAAGAAAAAAAAACCCTAATATGTATAATGCTTAGAAATTGCATCTTACAGGGGATACATTACACCATCAATGCCATGTAAATGGAAATAGATTAATACAGGCATTTTTAGATGCATATTCTGCTATTTTAGGGTCAAAAATCGTAAAAGAAATGTGCTTCCCTGGTCTCCTAAATATTTTATGTGCTAGGAGGAAATTCTCTTTCTTTGGTAATTACTACAATAAGAACAAGAGAAACGATCTCCCAGAGTTATGGAGATTATTTTGTATGACTTCTTAAACTGAAGCTCCTTAAGTGGTAGTACTTTATTTAGGTCTTCTCCCTCATGCCCACATTTATTTTTTTTAATCCCTTTTTTTTTTTAAAAAAAAAAAAAAGGTCAAAGCATCCATAGAAATTCAAGTCTTTATTGTACAGGATTTGTTGGTGTTAATGTAACGTGTGCTTGTGTTGTTATTTCTGTCATGGAACAGTAGACCCAGTGTTCACAAGAAGGAACAAGGAGGGGCATGAAGTAGATCCAGGGCTGAAAGAAGAGGGGATGATGAATACAAGTAGGACATCCATTGCAGTGACTTTACCAGTGATCTAATGAAGTGTACACAAAATGTTAAAACTACAGTCAGAGCCTGAATAATGATGAGGAAAAGAGAAAGGACTCCAGAGAGATGCTACCTCTGAGCAAGAAGGTTTCACTGAGGTTTGTAGTGACTTGCAATGAAAGTGATAGGGAGGTGGTTGTATCACTGAGAGAACTTTTCCCAAACTAATTTGAAAGTGGCTACAGAGAAAATGAATTAATTCTGCACTTAGACAGGTGCGTTTGGTGTTCACGTGAGCTGTACTTACAGGAAACTAATGAGGGTTTTGCTGTAGCTATTTTTGGTGCTTCCGTTTTCTGTGCTGTCTTGGAAGGAAATACACCTGTTGGTTTTGGACTACAATATTAGTTTAAGTAATTCTTCTTCCATATGAGCCACCAAGTAATTGTGTGGTGTCTAGGCACAGTAAATGCTTAACGTAAGATTGCTGAAATACGTGGTTAATACTCCCTTAAATTTAAAACTGTTATTTAAAAAATGGGCCAGTCTAGAAGCAGTTCATGCCTCTCAAGGAATCATTTTATTGTTTGAATACCCAACTCTGCTCATCTGTCCTGACATTTTTTGAATAACCAGAAGTGTATTGCAGCTCCCTGCAGCGAGACAAACCATTAGCAACTTGATTTCCATAGTGGAAAGAGACACAGCTATCTAATACCTAAGAATTAGACCTCATGGCAGGGAGCAGTGGGAGGGATCCTTAATAAGGCCAAGCAAAGTAGAGTACCACAAAACTTCCCTTCCTTCTACTGTCCTTCTATTGATTAGTCGAGTGAGACATGGCTTTGATCTTCTCTTTCCTCTGCTGGACCTCATGAAGGAGGTGGTCAGAGCGTCTCTGTCCTGAGGCTCCTGTAGGAATGGACATGACCAGGAAGGGAGTGTTCCCCAGCTCCCCAGTGCATAGTCTGGACAAACACCAGTTTCATCTATCTTAACGATACTCTAAGAAATGGCTTTGATTTGTTTTATTTTAAATTTTATTTATTTCTGGCATGTGGTAGTTGTCTGTTCAAGCTGAAAATGAAACGTAAACCACATCCAAGATACCAGTGCGGGTTAGTTGGCTGAGGTGAACTTAGCTACGTGCAGCTGGTAAGTATTAGTTTGGGTGTTAAAGGGATAGAAAGGGAATCTAATGTGTTAAAACCCTCCTTATATAGAAAGGAGGATTTTTGTTCTAGGATGTCGAATGCATTTCTCTCAGCAAAGATTAGATTTGAGAATTTAATCTCATTTTTGGTTAAAAAGATAGTGATGGGGATATTCATAAAGGCAGAAACAACTGATGGCTTTCAAATCAGTAGTAGGGGAGTATAAGAACAAAAGGGAAATGGAAGGAAAAGTGTTTACTACTGATGTGTTACAGGTAAGGGGTTATTTCAGGAAATACACCCAACTAAGATGACTTGGTAGTAAACTAATAAACATCAACTCTCTTCCTTCAGCTCTCTAGCATTTCCTTCTCTTATAATGAGTTTAATCTGATTTTAGTCCTTACATAAGAAAACACATTTCACAGTCCTGTTCTTTTGTTACATCTATTAAAAAGCTAGCTACTCAGCAAACACACACACACAAGAAACGTTTTGGGATATGGGGGAAGGACAAGGTGCCATATTTGGTCTTGTGGAAAGTTCCTCGGAGATTATTGATCTGTGGCTCTAGGAAGTGAGATAAAATGTGTTGTCTCAGCAAACTGATGACGAACGCTCATAAACGTTTATGGCCTATAATGAGAGTAGGGGTCAGTGAACCATGTAAAAAAGAAAAACCTTTAGACTTGAGTTTTCCCTATGCCACTCAATCTGGCTTATTTAAAATAGTGACCTTAAATAAACATTTTGGGGTAGGAAAATATTTTTTTGTTGGGATAGAATAAGGAGCGATTTAACAAATATCTGAAATTCCTGCATCTGTTCTTCTTCCCTCCCCCCATTACTGAGCACTCGGTGAGGTGTTTTTTTATTTAGGTTGTGTGTACCCTGGAGGTTGTTTTTCATTGACGTAACTAATGTAAAGACCTCAAAGGAACTCTTACCAATTAATTAAAGCTCTTGATCTAACCTCTTAAAAATATTTATAATCTGGTGAGGAATGTTCTCAGGAATTTAAATATTTCTTTTGGCTCTTAATTTTTAACAGTGCACAAAATACTGAAACGTGGGTACTGAAAGCTTAACCCCACTCCCACCACTGCATCTACTCTGCTGAGTTAAATAAGATTTAAACACAGGGATGTGACCTGATTCCATCTCTTCCCAGATTTTGAGAACTGGATTTACTTTTATGGAGTCTGTTTTTCCTAGTTACAGAATATTTATGATGTTTCTGCTTGCTCTGCAGAAACAGTTAAGAGAGAGTATTTCTTGCTTGATGAATTAGCATTATTAAGGTGGTAAACGCCAAGAGTCTTGCTTAAACTCTCTTCCACTTTGCCAATGGAAATGGTTCATGTTCTACTTTGCTAAAACACTTGCTCTTCCCTACTTCTCTTAACTCTGGCTTACTCCTACTCGTGCTAGCAGAGATGTTTTCATGATGGTTATCTTTCAGATGCTGCCTGTGATGAAAATGAAGAAGAGCTTTTTATTTTTTGGGGGGGGTAGGGAGGGTGGGGGTGTTTTTTTTACTTTTTGTACAGAAGGATTGACGAAAAAAACCAGAAATGCCTACCTTTGTGTATTTCCGACCTGAAAAATTGTAATAGCCTAACACAGACACACTATTGGCTCTGAAGTGAAACCAAAAGCAGGAATTCTTGGACTTGGGTGGATGTGGAGCAACGGTAAATATCCAAGAAAGAGTAGCTAAACTTCAGAGTACTGTAATGCAGGATCATAGAAGGAGTTTCGCTGAACTCTAAGAATTTTTAGTGCTGCAAGACCAGAGTGTATTTTGCTAGCAAACCATAAAGGACATATTTTTCTGTCACTGAATTGCCACTTAGACTTGATTTACTCCACTATTGAGTGCCGCTGAGAACAACCTGCATGGAAAACTTAGGTAATGTACCAGTTTATAAAGCATAAGGGCAGAAGTGGGGTTAAACATACTGGAAGCCTTTTGTGAGCTTCTATTTCTAATTGGCTGTACCATTTTACCCTCCGGTGCCTGAATGCTGGGGTGTAGATCTGTACGTGACTGTGTTCCTTTGGAGTTGTGCCTGTCATTAAATAGCATCCTCCTCATCTGTAAATGTAATCAGTGTTCTCTTATAGAAAGTTGTATACTTTCTACTGCTTCACGGTAGGAGACGAAGCTGCCACCCTTCAAAGGATGAAGTAAAGGCTGCTGAGAAAGAAGGACTGGTCTCATGCCCAAGTCAAATAGGAGCTGTCTTGGAAAGGGTTCCATAAACTTCTACGTGCTACTTTCTACACACGTTATCTGTATAATTCAGGGAATCACTAGTAGAGAATGATGGATTTTCTAGGTGCCCAGTGTGAAGCCCACATCTGAATTGAGCACCGAGGTGGGGAGCTGTATGGCTCCCTCCCAAAACCTGGGTTGGACTGTGGGTGCAGCCACCACCTAAAAAAGTGGTGTTGACAGGAAATCCAGGCTGCAGGTGGTGAATTGCCTACTTATCTCCCTTACCCTTCTGCCTATGAGAAACGGCAGGAATAGGATGATTTAATGGATTTTGCTTTCCTAGGAGCTCTCTGAGAAGCTTCTACAGAGCACAAAGCTACCTTAATGAGCACAAAGACATAAATTATAGATTTTGTATTCAATGCCAAATGCAGGTGACATACGCAGTGGACAATGAATGAAGTCATACGCTGAGTATGTAAGGAACAGCAAACACAATGAGTTCAGTGAGATTGGGCAAAGATCCTGGAAACATAATAGTAAGTGATTAGCCAGGGACTGCTGCAAAAGGTATGTTTTTGCTGGAACTTCCCATTGTTTCCCCCTGACCTGTCCCTCACCTGACAAAGTGTGTGTACAAAATGGAAGACTTGCGTGGAGGATGCAAGGAGAAGGAAACAAGGCAGGAACCCTTCTACAGTCTTGTTTATACTGGCGTTTTTCTTAAAAATATTTGAAATTGGATGTCCTTTTAAAGGAATCCTAGTATAAAAATGCCAATATCTCCAGGGTACGTTTACCATTCTGTTGTCTCTACTTGCCTAAAGCGAAGCTGGATGGAAAAAAAGCCCAGTGCTCTCTCTGTGCTTTTTCACCAGAAAAACCATGCCTGGTGTCAGAGGAGCAGGAGATCTTAAGAATATTCTTTTATAGGTAGAGCTAGTCATTTCTATCTCCTGAAGTGACCAGGGCTTCAAGACTGACCAGGGCTTCTTCCCTGCTTCTGCAGTACCGTACGCCAAGTAGGAGGATACCCAGTATGGACTGAAAGATGGCATGAGATAGCTGTG